GGTTCCCACGGCGGGGAAGCGCCGCTGGGGTCTGGGCCCGGGGAGGGGTCTCCCACTCTGCCCCCCGCTGCCCCGCACGCACCCCGGTCCGGGGGCTGTGCCCTCCTGCCGCTCCCGTGCAGGGGCTGCAGCGCCGGCCCGGCCTTGGCGAGGTCCCGCCCGGGGGCCCCTCGGCCACCGGGCACGTTCCCCTCGTCCGCCCGGCGCCGGCACTCCCTGCTCCTCCGCTATAAGGACAGGGTGACAGGCTCTGCCCTCCCCGAGCAGGGGCAGGGGCAGCCTGAGCCGGGCAGGCACCTCCACGTCCTGGCAGGTGCTTGGGCAGGGCGGCACAGCCAGCTGGCATCTGTCCTGGAGCCAGCTCCATGTGTGCCAGCGGGGGTCCCCCAGAGCTGGCAATGAGACAGCAGCCACCTGGCCCCTCTCCATCTCCTCCTGGAGGCCGGAGCCACAGGACTCCTGCGCCCCAGGGACATGTGGACCAGCTTGACCCCTGAGTCGCGGGACCAGTGGGGGCCCGTGTGCCACAAGCCACCCGGCTTGAGCCAGCTGTGCCGGACACCTGCTCTTCCTGTGTCCAAGGAGGCCCAGGGGGCCTCCACCACCCCTCGCCTGGCTCCTCCAAGCACCTCAGCTGCAAGCCCCTGGGGCACCAGAGACCAGCGCCCCGGGCACTTGGTCAGAGCAGGGCGCCAGGCCTGGTGCTGCAGCCCGCGTGGCACCACGGCTATGGGAGACTTCCGGGGCTGTGTCTTCCGTCGCGCCTGGCGGTGACACCGTGTCATCAGTCAACGAGCTGAAAATAGCACTGAGTGTGAGTGGGGCGGCAGAGCCCACCGGGGCCCAGCGGCGCCCGTGTGCCTGGTCCAGGGCGCTGGGGCAGGGCTCGTGGCGCCATCCTGTGCTGCAACGTCTCTGCCACGCTGCTGATGTTGCAACTACCCGACCGCAGCTCCTGCTTTCCTGTGCTGCAGCGCAGCAGGCCAGGCTGGGGCAGCACAGGGCTCTGGCCTCCCTCCATGCACACACACATATACACGCGTCCACCTGCCCACATGCACATACATGCACACACACACACACACATGCACACCTGCCCACACATGCATGCACACACACATATATACACACCTGCACACAAAGGTGCGCACATGCCAACATGCATGCACGTGCATGTGCACACATGCTTATGCACACACATGCACACATG